CTCACACGTGGGATAAGGTGAAGACTACAAGCAGGAGTCCCACTGGTGCTGCAATTGCATGGCTGAGCTTGGAGGGAGTCATTCAGCAGAGTGGGATGGCAGCTGCTGAAAATAAAGCTGCTTGCTAATCCAGCAAGGCTTGCTATTTCCATCACTTACATTGTGTGTTTGTGCTTTGTAAATTTAAATAAAAATGTAAATGATGACTGACCCTGGAGGGTAGAGTAGAGGGTGTTTTTCACAGGGGAGGAAGCCTGGGCTAAGGACTGAAGTGTGGGTCAGGATACAGGACTCCTGTGCTGCTGCTGTCTGATGCTGCTGGTTCACGTGGCCTCGGGCAGGCCACCTTTCTGCTTGTATTCCTCTTTTTCCACCTGGACATTGCTGCCCTGTGGTCCTCTTTGCAGCAGAGGAAGCGTTGCGGGAAGTAAATCCCTGGAGAAAAATGAGAGTGCAGCAGCCCATGGCAGCCGATAGACCAGCGGTGCAACGGGGGCAGCTGAGCACCTACAGAGATGGCTGGTGTCAGCCGCTGGTCCCGCTGGCTACAGGGGGGGGAAAGGGCTGCCTGTGAGTCAGAAAGCAGGTTATGAGTGAGCTCCTCAGCTCTGACAGCCCTTTCAAAAGGAGCCAGCATTTGGGAATTGAGCAGGATAAGCTATTCACAGGCATCAGGCTACAGTGGGAAAGCAGACTTTGCATGTGTCTTGCACAGCAGTGTCATATCGCGTCCAGGATTTTCGACCTCCTTAATTCTTGCCTGAGCTCTTAACGTGATGTCTGTTCACTCAGTGTTTCCCTGTTCTGCAGATGCTGGTTTGTGTTTAAGCTTGTCACTGATTTCTGTGCATCGGTCCACTCCAATATGAGCCTTTCTCTGCCTTTCATCCATATCAGATTAAGCAGCCTCGTGACAACATCCTCATTTTTTTAAAGTGAAAAAAAAAGAATTTTTCACTTTTTTTTTTTTTCTGTATTTACCCCACAAGTGAAAAACTTTCTGTAGTGCATCACTGCCATCCTGGGATGCTCTGACTTTATCGTTGGTGAAAGAAACATCTTTGCCTACTGGAGGTGTCTGAATTTGATGGGAACCTGCAGCGATCAGCATTGCAGGGATTGCCGAGTGCCCCTTCTTGAGCTGTGCCCATGCAGGACAGCACAGTAAGAGTGCAAGCAGACTGTGGTCTCCCCTGAAAGCTCTTTGGCTTTTGTAAGGAAGAACACTCCTCCCTTTCTCAGGGCTAAAACAAAACCAGACTTAAAACAAATACTTACGGACTTGACCACAGCTCCAGAGCCAGTGCACTTCTCACTCGTCTAGCAGGACGAGCACTTGAGTCCTGGTTATTTCCAGTGAAACCAAGAAAACAAGAGGTTATTGGGGCACAAAGCAACATGCCTTGACAGTTGATATTTCTCTGTTGTCCTTCCCTCGCTCTTGCCCATCATCATCGTGAACACCGTGCTAGCTTAGCAACCCTTCAGTGCAGAGCATCTGCTCTGGCTCTCAGCAAGGGAGCTGCCTGCAGCCTGGCTTTGCTTTAGGGTGCCTGGCATACTGGAGTAGGTTGCCTGTGTTCGGCTGATTTGATTTGCTCCTAACAAGCTAATTCTGCTGCAAAGGCAGGCTACCCTGCCTTGTGTTTCACAGCAGCCGCATCTTAACAAGGTTGCTGGAGGAGCCTGGCTCCTTCAACATTGCCTGGAACAGTAATGTGCTGCCCTCGTCACCCCTTTCATCGCTCCTCCTGCCAGCTAGCTCTTCTAGAGTTAAGCTGTATGCTAAGAGAAAACTGTAATTGTCTATACTTGTTTGCTGTGTTTCTTACTAGGGGATCCCGAAGCGCTGTATACAAGAGAGGTTTTTTTAGCTCCTCCTTGAAGTGTAGCAACCTGCTGCCTGCAACGCGCCTGCTGCTTAAAAGAGCACTTCAGCTGCATGCACTGGGGTTCAGGGGAGACACAGAAAGGCATTTGAGAAGCCTCTGGACAAGGACCGACCTTTGGAACTGGGCTAAAAACTGGGGTTGATACCCAAGCTCCCCAAAGAGCACCATGGCAGCTTAGTGAGCCAGAATAGCCAGATACTGCTCCCTTATAGCCAGCCGGGATGCTGCTTCCCTGGGGGTGTTACAGGCATCTGGAAAATCATTATCATTTCCTCCAGCTCCCTAAAGGTGTCTGCGCAGGAGTCGTGTTGGAGGTCTCTGCTCCGAGACAGTCACCGTCTTGGGTGTACTGGAACTGTTCAGCTTCCAGTTCTGGGGAGTCAGAGTACCGGCTCATTTAAACAAGGTTTCTTTTGCACTTAAGCCAGGGATGAGAAGAGGCTGTGTTGTCATCTGCGCAGATCTGCGGACTGAATCGGTGCCTTGGTGGTGGGTCTCCCTTTTGTCTATAACCTCCTTGAGGAAGTGTGGGCTCCCCAGTAGGTGTTGGAGGCCAGAGCTGATGTCTGGCTCTGTAATTGCTGTTGACCTTTCTTTGCTTTCATACCCACCGGCAGCCTTCAGGAATAGCGGCCCCTTGGCGTAGTTCTGCATCCTTTGCAGTGATGGGATGACCTGCTTCAGCTCTCTCTCCAGAAAACCCAGGGGCTCCAGGACTACTTGCAGAGTTAATGCTCGTTGGGTGTTTCCTAGTGCCGGAGACAACAGGAGAAAATGTAACCGATTTTTACTTCATAGGCAGTTTCAGACATTCCCTTCACAAGGTGATAACATAGACCCAGAGTCTGTCCCGGTGCAAATCAAGTAAATCCCATTTCCCAGCTGAAGAAGATTAAATATCTTCTGCATCCTTGGCTGCCCTGCTGTTCCTGTGACCTAAGGAAGCATCTGGAGTGTCCCAGCCAGGCTCCTCTGTGTCCCCAGGCACTCTT